AAATTTATAGACATTTGCCAGGGGGTTTAGCTGTGACTATTTTACAGGAGATAACTCATGTATGAATCACTCAAGAAATTTATTAGCTCTCATCCTGGAAGCTTAAACACTCTTAAGGAATATGACTGATCACTCACATTCATTTTCAATAAAATCTGGACAAAACTTCTGAAAACTTTGTTAATTTTATTGGTAATTTTACCAATTTTACAAATAAAGTAGACATAACTCCCATCTAGCATATTAGTCTAGGCAAGTTGTGTACAGAGAACAAAAGACATAATCTAAACCAGTAGTAAGCTTCTGGGAATAATGACAAATTCTTGAATAACAGCTTGCCACAGTAAATGTCACAGCCATCCATTCTATCTGTACTACCAATTATTGGGTCACTTCACATTACCTTAAACAGAAGAGAACATAAAAGTTAATTCATATCATCAATCTTAAGAAATAAGAATTTCATGATCAAGACACATACAGCAAAGGGAAATAGAACTCAACTGGTTTGAAATTCATAGTGCACTTCGACTCAACATTCATTTCGCAAGGCAAAGCATTCTACTGAAATGAACAGGACAAAATACAGCTGTTGCCATTCGTTCTGAATAACACATGAACATGAAGAAAACAGCACCAGTTTTACTCATGAGACAAAGCCCACGCATTTTTTTTAGGTTAATAGACTATAAAAAAAAAAATAAAAAAAAAGTCTTTTTATAGGATTACACAATTACTGGTGAACCAGTAGTTTCCATTGTGGTTTGAAATTCATAGTGCACTTCGACTCAACATTCATTTCGCAAGGCAAAGCATTCTACTGAAATGAACAGGACAAAATACAGCCGACGCCATTCGTTTCGAATAACACATGAACATGAAGAAAACAGCACCAGTTTTACTCATGAGACAAAGCCCACGCATTTTTTTTAGGTTAATAGACTATAAAAAAAAAAGTGTTTTTATAGGATTACACAATTACTGGTGAACCAGTAGCTTCCATTGTGGTCCTTGCAAACAAATGAAACAAATGGTCTAAATTGAACATAACATCATTAAGAACCCCAACCGGCTGGAGGCAAACCAGTTGGCTATTTACAAGCGTGGCCTTGGATCTGAACACGGGGCTACCGTGAAACAAATCTAGTGGTCAGGGTGGGACTCGAACCCGGGAGTGGCGGATTACGAGTCCGACACTCTAACCACTAGGCTACACTGCCTCCTTAGGATTAGTTGGACCGAAAGCTAGATAAATAAACAATTAACTGACAATAGTTAGGGACTTGGGGGCCAAGTGATATATAAATTTTACCAAAGCTTTTCCTCTAGTTAGCACATGAAGCGCGAAAAGGCAATAGTAAAAAACAAAAACACAGTAAAAAATTAAGCCAAAACCGGAGTTGATTGAGGTAAGACCATAACTGTTGTTAAGACACATGCCTACCTACCATGTACAACAGAAAATCCACCAAAACCTCCCGAAAAATAATTCGTCGAGGGTTGTAGTAAGAGCAACTTACTCCTGAAGCTGGAACATTTTTTAAAGCG